TTATCATTTCATGTCCATGTGACAATTTGACATCGGAGATGTTCTTTATGGTCCCATTTGGTTCATGAGAAAGGAGACTTGTGAATGAGAAATCAATTTCTTTATCATGTTTAGTAAGTCCAGGCATGTAAATTGTTGCTTGACCCATAAGAAAGTAGAGGAAAAAGTGAAGCCATCCTCCTAACTTGGGTTTTGTTTTCCTTCATCATGGAAAAGTTTGGAAAAATGAGTCAATATTAAATAAACATTTTTCATGACTATTTTGTATACATTAACAATTTAAAATTACAATATATCATTAAATGCATTCTTTTTTTATTTGATTTAATATGGGTATAATTAAAAATTTATACAAACTTTGTTTTCTATTCCTACTTAACACGAACATGAGAAATGAAATAAAGTGATATCTCTCAATTACTTTCCCAGCATTACCAAACGTGGAAAATGAATCTTCCATTTTCCATCTCTTGGGAAATGACATGGAAAATTATTTTCTCTCAAATTCGTTCCATGAACCAAACGGGCCCCACAAGTAATGCAATAAGGAATTTACAATTTCAGGCTTTAGTTATTTCAGTAAAAGTACCAAAATATCCCTAAACCCTAATAGGGTGGAAAGATCTTGTTACCTTTATATTTCTCGGTTCCCCTATTTATTTGTGTTCCTCCAGTTCCTCTGTAACCCGTGTTTCCACTTGGGCGCCGTCACCAGCTCCCCAAAGAAACCCTAACCCCCAAATCCCCAATCTCTCTATCTGAGACGCCTCCATCCACCCACAAAATGGGGAGAAAACGAAAGCTCGACGCCAACAACACCGAGTCCTCCGAGCCCTCCAAGAAACAACAACCGGTCGTTGAAGAAGAGGAACCCAAACCCCAAAACGAACCAGCAGAGGAAGTAGTCGAAGAAGAAGAAGAGGAAGAAGTTGAAGAAGAAGAAGAGGAGGAAGATGAACCGGAAGAAGACAAAGAAGATGAAGGAGAGGAAGAGGAAGAGGACGAGGATGAAGAAGAACCTGGTGTTGAGTATAAGCAAAACGAGAACGTGACGACGACGTCCACGTCGGCAGCTTCGGATCTGGGGGGGGGGGGCGGGCGGGTGGGGGGGGGGGGGGGGGGGGGGGTGGGGGGGGGGAGCCGATCCAGAATCTTCTAGAACCCTTCAGCAAGGACCAGCTTATTGCCCTGCTCCGCGAAGCAGCCGATACGCATGGTGACGTATCTGATCGGATCCGTAAGGTCGCAGATGAGGACCCGATCCACCGCAAGATCTTCGTCCACGGGCTCGGATGGGACACCAACGCCGAAACCCTAACCAGCGTGTTTAAGGAGTACGGTGAGATTGAGGATTGCAAGGCTGTGTGCGATAAGGTCTCTGGTAAGTCCAAGGGTTATGGCTTCATTCTTTTCAAGACTCGTTCTGGGGCTCGAAAAGCCCTAAAGCAGCCGCAGAAGAAGATCGGCAATCGGATGACTGCGTGCCAGCTGGCGGCTATTGGCCCAGGCCCGGCTCCGAGTGCCGCTGCCGCTGTGCCTGTGGCGGTCCAGGCGGCCCAGTCACAGACAGTGTCGGAGTACACGCAGAGGAAGATCTATGTGAGCAATGTTGGGGCTGACTTGGAACCCCAGAAGCTGCTGATGTTCTTTTCTAGGTTTGGAGAAATTGAGGAAGGGCCACTGGGGCTTGATAAGATGACTGGGAGGCCTAAAGGATTTTGTTTGTTTGTGTATAAGTCGCCAGAGAGTGCAAAGAGGGCATTGGAAGAGCCGCACAAGAATTTTGAAGGCCACATTTTGCATTGCCAGAAGGCTATTGACGGTCCAAAGCCGGTCAAGTCTCAGCACCCGAACCAGCACCACCACAAATCCCATAATTCCAAGTTTCAGAGGAATGATAATCCGGGTTATGTTGGTGGAGCTGCGGCAGGAATGGGGCATTTGATGGCGCCAGCAAGTGGTGGGATTGGGTTTAACCAGGGTGCTGCGGCCGCCCAGGCATTGAATCCCGCACTTGGGCAGGCACTGACTGCATTGTTTGCGACTCAGGGGGCTGGTTTGGGGCTGACAAACCTTTTGGGAACTTTTGGAACGGCTCCGAATGTGAACCCAGGTGTTCCTGGTGCAGGACATGCCATACAGGGTGGGTATGCGAATCAGGCAAGTATAAGCCCTGGAATGATGGGAAGCTATGGAAATCAAGGTGCAATGCAAGGTGGCTACCCGAACCCGCAGATAGGGCAAGGTTGTTCAGGAAGAGGGCAGCATGGTGTTGGGCAATCTGGTGGCGCTCCTTACTTGGGGCATTAGGTGCCCCTGAGGTATAACAAAATCACTCTTTTACTTGGTAATTTTAGTTATTCTCACATGCACACCACAACTGATCACAAAGTCACTCTTATACTATTCCTTTTTTGGTAGTCAAATACTATTTGTACTTTAGTAAGTTTAATTGAACGAGTGTAGAAGATTTAATTGTATAGGCTAATAGGAAATAGAACATCATTGGTTGAATCCTATTCATTTTCATCTACTAGGTTACTGAAGGCTATTAGGGTTTTCAAGTTTTAGATGCCATCTATTGTCAATGCAGGGGTGATTCTGTTGCGAGGAAAAGCCTGGGGTATAATTTGTTGTGTGAAAAACATTGACTTTTGGTTTTAGATGACAGAAACTTTGGCTTGCTGGGTATTTAGATTGATTTTCAAGAACTGAATAAGTGACTTTTCAATTGATCAAGGGAGTGTGCGGTCTTTTGAGCAATTCTTTTAGAATTGTTAGATTTTTTCAATATTATTGCTTCTTTATTTTGTACAGCTCCATAAGATGGATACTTTCTTGTCAAAGTGCTTGAATTTAAGCATTTTGAATTATCTAATGTTTTTGCAGCAAGTTGATATCATTGTTGCATTTAGAAATTAACTGTCGAGACCAGTTCGCCTTTCGACTTTGAAGTCTTAACTTGTATTCATTTTAAAGGGATTTTGGGTTTTAAACCTTTCATCTCTTTTGAAATTATTTTTCACAATTTTTTATTAAATGTGCAGATCCCAAATAGGTGCATCAGTGTTTTTGTACTGGTCTGGTGATTCTTCTGAAGTTTAAAAGGAGCTGATGGTTACTACAAAGAGCAGAATCTTAAAACTGTCAAATGAAATTTCTGTTTTCCTTCCCTTTTCTGTCTTTTCCTTCTTCAAAGTACTGTAGTTTTTTTAATTTTATTTGTTTGAAAGATCAAGAGTTTGAGAAATTCTCTTACAAACCTATCTGTGTTTTATGGAGTCGCGAGGTTGAACAAAAATACTTTTTAAATTCCCAATCCTATGGATTAAATGAACTTTATAATGTAGTTTTTCTTCTGCAATGCTCATTGTTAGCTTTGTTTATTAATGCTTTTTTATTGTTTTTTATTGGTTTTGAATAATTTTCTTGTATTTAACACCACAATTTTATCATCTATAGTATATTTGATGGATCTTCCTAAACTGTGTTTTTGTCAGCTCTAAATGGTACTGAATGGTGCCCTATGAGTCATGATATTTTTGTGTGAAACATCAGACTTCTTACGATTCACTTTAGATGATAACATGATCTTATTGTTTACTGTAGTCCTTTTGGCAGGTAATGTGATGCAGGTTGTGAGGCCATAGAAAATATATTGTTATTTTTTTTAGAGTTTTGAAGTAGGAGCTGTGATAGTTTTCAAGTAAATGCTTCTTAATATAAAATTTGGTTGCTTTCAAGCCGGATACCAAAAGATGGTTGCTTTTTAATTCATATATATAACAACATCTAGGATATTTTATTTCTTCTGCTTCCATGTAGGGCTTTTATTTGGTTCTCTTGAGAGTGTTCTTCAGGATGTTGATAGTTCTCACAAAATAATTTATAGGCTTCGTGGAATGGAGGTAAGACAATGAACTTAAGATATTGCTGTTTTTTGCTGTATATTTTTTGGTTAAAAGAAGCTTGTCCGGCACCATTGGTTTCAAAATACATTTAAAGTGATTTGGTCTGGTTGGGACAGGATTCGAACTCGCAATCGTCAGGTTATGATGTGGTTGATGAGTTGATCAATCCTCTATCCCGTGCCTTCCCCCTTCCCTTTCTTTCATTAGTTCTACTCAGGTCTACCCCTTACCTCTCCTTCATTACTCTTGCATGGTCGGGATACACAGCTGAACTTCCGAAATTAGCGTCTTTTTGTTAAGTAACACTAGTTTTGCATTGATAAATTTTGGGTCAGCAGAACAAGGGACTCATGTTCTGCTTGCATATATAGAAGTCAATTGAACTTCCTTATCGAAGGTCTTTCTAAAGCTGCTTTGCAATCTCATCCTTGGTTGTTGAACCTAATGGAGGTTCAATCCATGGATCCACTGTAAAAGTAAAACTTCGGATATGATAGATGGGAACTACTTGACGATAGTTGCCGTTTTCTCAAGCAAGATTTGTAATCATGTATCTGTGTGCTTGTCCTAGCGAGTGAAGATCAGATGTGGATGTTTTGACTGAGCGGTGCCCAATTGACCGCAACCCTTGTACATGCCGGAAGTCACATCCAGGGAGTTGGTTTTGCGCACAGTATTGAACAAATGGTCACCCAAGTACTATTACTTAAATGTGCAAACGTTGTTAGAGTCTTGGCTTGTCTCCATTGAATATTTCTGTTCTGGATTTTGTCGGAGGGTTGTATTCTGGGCTAGAATGTTAGATGTTGGAACGAAGTGAAAGCTGGTCTATTGAAAATTTTATACAGTTGTGATAAGAGCTTCATACATGATTAGAATATCAGGTTGTGCACTGCAGTTTTGAAATATTTGTAGTTTCACTTTGGTTGCATTCTTACCTTTTGGATGTGAAAGTAAAAAAGATTGTTATGATATAATTTTAAGCATTTAGTCTCAATATTATGGCCTTTGCTAACATTGCCCTAGGAAATGCTTTTACCGGATGTATCTCTCTTAAAATATTTAACTACATTCTTTATAGTAAAAAACACTTGTCAAACTGTTCATTCAACTGGAAAAAAGAAAGAAAAAGATATTTACCCATTCTTAGCACTAATGATTAGGTAAATTCTACATCATTTAATTTTTATAAACAAATTAAAAAAAAACTCAAAAAAATGATAGTTAGTCTTATTGAATTTAATTTTGATTATTAAATTATTT